ATAGTCCTATATATATATATATATATATATATATATATATATATATATATATATATATATATTCTAAAAATATTTTTCATTCTAATTGATGGGTTTATTAATTGTATTATAAAACTTGATTGGTCTAAAGTAATAACTATTTTTTAATGATAATTATAATAATTGTAAATACAATTTAAAAGTCATTTTACACTTTTATATTTTGTTTAGGTTCAATCCCTTGTAGCCTTTATTAGACCCAAATAGTGTATATTGTTGATAATATTTATTATTTTATTTACAATATTTGTAATTTGCAGTTTTTTTTTTATTCTGTATAATTGTTCTATTTTTATTTTTACCGTTAAATGCATGCGTGGTGCCACGTCTGTTCCATGTTCTGGTTTCTTTTGTCTCTATGGTGTTGGTCCTGTCGAATGTATCGAAGTGTAATTGATACTGAGATAGAACGACTGAATTTTACAAGAGAACAGATTGCGAAATTTGTCCAGGTTCTTTTTGACAACCAATGAAAATCATTCTCATATAAAGTTTTTACAATGGGAAAGAACGATTCTCTCATTGGTCTATTAGAATCCGTTCGGTGTTCGGGCTGTAAGTTTAATGTTTCCTGCGTTCACTTTGCAGACAGCAACCACCTCACTCAGTTCAACTACATTCAGGGCGGAATCATCACATCTGTACCGGCCATTACCAGCCTGCAATCCAGGGCTGCCTACGGATTTCCAAACATGGCGTTTGCACCACAAGCCCAGGGATGTGTACCAACCTCAGCTGTTGGGATGACATCTCCCGTATATAGTCAGACTCCGTACCAAGCACACAATGCAATGGTGCCGTATAATGGGATGCAAGCAGCAGACGACATGTGGACAGCCTCCACTGTTCCTGCTAGAGATGATAACATCATAATGCAAACAGGTTCGTTAGTCATTACTTTATTTTCAATCTTCCAACAATTGAAAAAAAAAAACTGAAAAAGTAATTGAAGGGCTATGCTTGATACAATTATAACGCCGTGTTCTCCTACTTGAGTACTCTTATTTATTATTTATCCATTTGTTTATATCGTGTTTACAGAGCTACGCAGCAAACCTAGTTTAAATATTATTTATTATATATATATACGTATATATACGTATATATATATGTATATATATATGTATGTATATATATGTATATATATATATATATATATATATATGCTATTATTAGTTTTATATTAGTTCTATATGCCATGATTTTTTTTATTTAATAGAGAGAGAAATGGATATAACGATACGTTACCGAGCAGAAAACGTGGTGAAAGAAAGAGTGTGCAACTCAGGGTGTTGTATCTACTCCAAGTCCCCGCAGCCGGGACATGAGCATCTAACGCCCATCGAGTTGCCAGATAGTCATGAGGTAGACTTTAAGGTACTAAAACCGAAAGAGAAACAGATGGAACTCACAAACACCGTAATTGAAAACATGTTCAAGGGGTAATTACTAATCATATATCGTAGAATAGTTAATAAAACTATTGCTTCACCGGTTAAGAAACGGACCGTTCCGGGCTAAGCCCCGCCACCTAAAATTTGTCGCTAAAGTTTCACAGAGCTTTATTTTATACCTCCTCGCACAAAGCAAACATATGTTAAACTGTATGTTATGTGGGACATGCGCGTACTCGTGGTCCTATTC